ATAACAATAAATTTTATTAGTTTTTATAAATGATACACCCTACTGTATATATATACATGATGACTGTGATGGTGATGGCAAGGATACTGATGCTAGTGGTGATGACGATTATTCTGATCGTAACCAAAGTGATGCTAGTGCTGACGGTGGGGATACAGTGATGGGGTGATGGCGATGATGCGTATACATACTTGACTGGGACCTAGGGAGGATGTCTCGACGACTGCGTCATTCTGAAGGTGGAAGAACGATCAAACGTGTCTAGAACAACTGTGAAGACAAGTCGTCAGCTGGTGAGTTCATTCGATGGGCACATATTCATGTCTATAAGCGTAAACACACTTTCATGCAAAAGAGAAAGACACTTTCATCACAGAAGATGCATCAAAAGCCAGTCACTCTCTTCTGAGCCCGAATGCATGCATGCCTGCAAAGTGAAAAAGAGAAAACTTCCAAATTCTCCAAGTACGTGTCCGTGAGGGAGGCTTGTTTGCGCGTCGTTAGGCCAGTTGAACGGCCATACTCGTGATCGGACGAAGGCTAAACATGCACACATTTTCGGTTGCACCACGTCTTAGCAGTACAGGCGAGCTCCCCAGACGCGTTGGCAACCGACGTCACCTGGACGACTCGACGACTGCCTCACCCCTGACGTCTGTCCGACCACCGTGTCGTCCCTCCCAGTCGGCCCAAGGGCGCACACACACACACACACACACACACATGGTTCGTCTGCCTGGTACCAATCGCCATCTCTCAGACTCCTCGTGCCAGCCGCCTGTGTGGGCGTCTGCCTCCTTCTGGCTGACGCCCTTTTTCAAGACGACATACTTCCGTTCGCATCGAACCAACTTCGTCAGATCATGACGTCGAGGTCAGCCTCAATCATGCCTATTTCACGAGACACTCGAACTGGTTTTCCTCGGTGACGCCTACTTTACGCCGAAATGCCAATTATCTCGAAGGTCAATTTGTCTATTCAACAGTAAATAATCTTGATTCGGGATCATTTATTTTGACTAATTCCACTGTCGAGGCCGAGCTAGAATTCCTAGTTTACCAACTTTATCACCACTACAGCCACCACCACCACCATAATAATAATCATCATCATTATCATTATCATTATCATCACTTTCATTACGATCAGAATAATCTTCATCACCATCACCACCATTATCATTGCCATCATTATCAATATCGTACTCACCATCGTCATAGGCAGCAACAGTACAGAGGTAGTATCACCATCTCTAATATCATCATCATCATCATCAAGTGGCGTCAGCAGCGTCATTAGTGTCCTTGTAGTCGCCAGCATCGAGTACGGTTGGGAAGGTAAAGTAATCATTGTCGTAGCGCTGCTGGCAACCAGTGATCGCCGGGTTGTTACGCGATCTGCTCGCTTGTATCGTGAACCTGTGGGCCTATTGCCGCAGAACGGATGTATTTGGCTGACTGACCGACTAATTGACTGACTAAATGTTTCGTCAAGGCCAGACTTTAATCGTTCTTTAAAGTGTGCATTCATCGGACACGTGAATCGGCCTCGGTCGGCCGGTGAAATTTGCCAATCCACACGAAGTTGCGCTGAATTTGCTTGAACCGTTTTGACAAACGACCTTTTAGCTTGACAACATTGTCACAAGTTTCGGTGGGGATTCACCTTTACTGCATCACGAGGTAGGGTGGGTGACCCGTTGGCTGTGGGGATCTCAAGGACCGTGCCTTCGAGTTTCTTGTGAATTGTCGTCAAGCCTAGTGTCCGACTCTGACGGTGTCCGTCACATGACAGACGAAAGCTCAGCAAGGATTAATCACGGTCGCAAGGTGATGAGCCGAGGGCCTATTCGCACAGATCGCAAGTACCACTTGATCAAAACAAAGTTCTAAGAAGTCAGATAACTTGAAGCCTTCTTCAAAATGGATTAAAAAAATAACGTTTTTCTTACACCAATAATAACTGCATGATAGCCCTTTTAATTGCTTACTTTAAGATTGGAGAGAAGATGACTTCGGAAGAATTCTTCAATAATTTTTTTGGGAAAAGATACTACTTATTTCAGCCATTGACTAGGTGTGTAAGTAGGCTTTCAAGACGAAAAGTAACTAATATAATCGATTGTTGGGGGGACTTTTGTTTGGTATGAAAACGCATAAATAAAAGATTCGTAGGTTGATCTCACCAGAAAAGGACGGATAAATCCTGTTGTACTGCAGCAATTTAGCTTTTGTACGACGTTCAGGTTGACGCAGTCCACGAGATCTCCCTCGTTTCGGGTGAAAACAGAGCGACTCGTCATAAACACGATAAGAAGCTGTGGAATTTGGGAATTAGAATTAGATCGAGACACTTTGCGTCTAAGATAAGTCGTTGGGCTTACTTCCATTTCGAGTAGAAGTGTTTGGTGAAGAAATTCGAAGGTCGGTTCCACCAGAAGACGACGGCGAATTCCTCTTGACTGCAACGTTCATGCTGACGCTGTTTCCGAGGCAATCTCATCCGATTCCGGTGAACCCGTGCTGAGCTTTCGTCCGTCAAATGACGGACATCATCAGAGCGAGGTAATATCGTGACAACAAAATTCAAGCTTACGAGTCAAGAAAACTCACCAGCAAATCCCTAAAAAGTGGTGGAACCGACCTTCGAATCTCTTCACCAAGCACTTCTACTCGAAATGGAAGTAAGCCGAACAATTATGAAACAAGAGATTCCTCGAAACCCAACTTTTCTTCG